GTATATGTATATGTATATGTATATGTATATGTATATATATATATACACACACATACATACATACATACATACGAGGGGTGGGCAAACTTTTTGGCTCGGGGGCCTCATTGACTTTTAAAATTTGACAGACGGGCCGGGTTATTTTTTTGGGAATCGCCCCCCCCACCCTTTCCCCCACCCTTCTTCTCCTCCTTCCCCTCCCCTCAGAGGCCCCCTGAGTCAGGAGTTGCTACCGCCGGCACGGCTCCGCGCGGCTCCAGTCCCGCGTTGCCTCGGGAAGGGAAAGGCAAAAAGGAAGAGCCGCGGCGGCGCTTTGCAATGGCAGCAGCAGCACCGGAGGCTCAGGCTCAGCGGCTCCTGGTTTTGCCTTTCCCTTCCCAAGGCAACACAGGACTGGAGCCACGTGGAGCTGCGCCGGCGGTAGCAACTCCTGACAGCCCCAGCTGGACACCTGAGCGGAGCTCGGGTGAAACTGCCTGTTGCCGCTGCGGGCGCTGCTGCGGGCGTCTGGCTGCCCAAGTAAAGAACCGCACCAGCTCGATTTTTTGGCGCGCGGCGCAGGGTCTCTTTTGGCCAGCCCAAATTTTTTTTTCAGAGGGGAATTTTTTTTTTCAGAGGTGGGCCGTATTAAAAAGACCAACGGGCCGTATTAAAAAGACCAACGGGCCGGATGTGGCCCGCGGGCCGTAGTTTGCCCACCCGATATATACACATACATATATACACATACATACATACATACATACATACATACATACATACACACACACACACACACATATATATATATACACACACACATACACATACATACACATATACATATACATATACATATATATATATATATATATATATATAGAATTTCATGAATTCAAATATCACAAACTTTCAAATTTTCAGTACTTTAATTTCAACATATTAATGTACTTAATGTATTTCCCATCCTAAATCATATAAAAAAACCAACATGAACCAAAACCAAAGTAAAAGCTAAAATCACATACCGTATAATGGATATCCCCTCTATCACATTCTCATCATAAAAAAAATGATAAGTATTCCTTAACACAATTGGTTTTCTATTCAAAGCTTAAATCTAACTTTATGAGTAAAATAGAAAACAGTTATTTTATGTACAAGTGAAAGAGTAACAGAAGACTTCAACGCAATAACTAGGAATTACATAGATGCAGTGGTGGGATTCAATTTTTTTTTACTACTGGTCCTGTGGGTGTGGCTAGATGGGTGTGGCCATGTGACTGGGTGGGCATGGCTTTTTTGGGGGCCACCCATTTTTTTTGGGACTTTCTGTGCCTCAGGGAAGCCTCCTGGGGTGGCATTTTTGCTCCCAGAAAGGCAAAAAAATGGAGCGCAGGCGTTGGGCTGTGAGCCCTCCCTCCATTTTTTTTTGCCTTCCTGGGCCTCAGGGAAACCCCCTGGGTGAAGCAGTAAATGAGGGGAATCCCAGCAGAGGAACAGCTCATTGTAGGGAGGGGGAAAAATACCTTAAGGAGTGACTGGGCAGGCGAAAGTCAGGTGGGCGGGTTGGGGGTGTGGCCAGCCAGAAGTTACTACCAGTTTGGCGATCCACACCAAATCCTTGCTACCGGTTCTCCTGTGACTGCATGAATGGAAAAACAAATACCTGATTTTTTTTTTTATTCCAGTCACTCCTTTTTCAAATTTTAGCCCTTTCCAGTCTTTGCACATCCATTTTATCAAGACATAGAATAATAAGAGTCTAAAACATTTATAATAAGGGTGTCAAAAACCTAGCACAACCAAGAACATCACAAGTAATACTGCTACGAAAATTAGGTTTGCAAGTTTGGACAGAGTATCAAATTCTATGAGAAAAAAAGTATTATACTATACAAAAAGTACATGAAGTACATAATGTTCTTTGTCCAACTGAAGTTTGTATAAAGAATCTTCCCTCAGGGCAAAAAGAGGTGAGATTATTATTGGGTAAAATGGCATTCTCTTACACCATATATTTTTTTCCCCTTAACTTAGATGCTCCATTGGTTTTCCACCTTATGCAATTCCCCAATCTCAGGCACATGAATGTTGGTTTTAGTATAAAACACCCACCCATAAATTTGGAAACATATGTATTGCTTGAATATGCCATGCTGAATGATTAAACAGAGTCAACTGAATTCACACTTCTCTTTATATACCATGAGCACCATTTCTTATGCTTATTTTATTAGTCATATTTCTACTGTTATGACCAAGAGATGTTCAGTAGTTTACAGAAAGCATCTAAGCATAAATAAGCAACTACAGAAATAATTTAAAAATACAACATAAAATACAAATAACAGAAAGATTAAGAGAAAGCTTTCCAAAACAATTCAGTCTTCAAAACTCTCCAAAAGAATCCGATCTTTTCACAGACGTGCCACAATATTGACACTATTAACCTCACCATCACTTAACCAATCCCTGAAATATCTCAAAATGCAGGATTCACAGCAGTTTCTTTTTTGTGTAACTTACCGATGGGAGGTGATCCTGAAGGTATCCAGATAACCACTTTTGATCAATAACGGTACCTTAAGTTGGACCTGAAAATCAACTGGAATCAATGTGAAATCCACAAATGTAATGATGTGTGCCATCGCATTTTGGACCAACGGTTGTTTCCAAGCACTTTTAAAGGGCAGCACAAAGTAGAGGGCATTACAAGTAGTCTGACTGGGTGGTAGTAAGGAGTTTTACTACCAGGTCCTCTTGTCCCAGGTGATGCTGCAACAGGTATTCCAGTCAAAGCCATGACCAATCCATTGCACTTGTTGATTCAGATATGCTTGACTTCACTTGGCTCATACTTATCCCAAATTATCACTCATAAGTATTAAGACTGAGTTCATGAAAAAGCGTAAGTGGCCATGTAACTCATTTGTTAAGGAATATCTACAGTATATAAAGATGAGTTAGGGAGGAAAATGGTACAGCAAAAATGTTATTTTAATAACTGCTAGAAGAGATCCTTTTCTTTGAAGGAATGACAAAAGTTGCATTGCTTAAAGTTGGTCCTTCTTTACAAATCCTGTTCATAGTAAGGATGGAAGTTGGTTCTTTGACAAATATTTAACAGCAATTTGCTTTTTATTTGTTTTTGGTATGATATTACTGAGTTATTGGACTAACTCCAATAAGCTGGCTATGTGACTTTTGGACAGTCATTTTCTCTCAGCCCAAACCACCTCATAGGATAGTTGTGGGGAAAATAGGATGATAAAGGCATTTTAGGTATGTTCATCTTATTTATAAAAATAATAAAATGGGATAAACACCTCTACAATTAACCATGTATTGTTGAAAATCCTGACTATAACACGGTATAATTTCTATCCAGGTATTTTCTATTAACACTAGAAGGCTGAGGATTTCCAAAGTATTTGGATGAATATTTTTTTCTTTGGTAGTATGGCAGTTATATCTATTAAAACCCTAATTTACTAAGTTCAGCTACCAGATCCGTGTAGTATGCTTTCACACCACCGATATTTCTTATGTTTTAAAATAAAATCATGTTGCTTAAGTCGCAATTTGTGGACATTAACTTTAACTTGTCCATTCTAATTCTTTAATATAGTCTAAGCAAACAGACTTTTGACTTGTATGACTCAACCATGCTGAAGGTACTTAACTTTTTAATGGCACCATGTTGCCCATTTGTTAAGTCATACCTGATTTTAAAATGCACTCAGTGCCATTATAAGTCATAAAACTCAAGGGAGTTTATTGAACGTCTAATCTTCTTTCAGTTTTTAAAATATTGAGAATTTCAATAACAATTTGTGATACATAATCATGTAGACCCCAATAGTAGTGTTTTAATAGAACCAGGAATATACTGTACATATGACAATCCCTCACAGAGACTCTTTCATAAGTAGAACACGGTGATTTAACTAATGAAGTCCTTTCCATTATAACTGGTTTGGTTATTGATCTCAGTTACTTGCACTGCATAAAATATATAGTGAATGTGAAAAATAAACCTGCAATGACAGGGAGAGCATTTGGGAAATCTACACAGTTTGGAATTATTTCTATTTTCACTTCAGTCTTCAATGTTAATTCAAACTATACCATGTGGTGTATAAATCTAGCCATTGTGGTTTGTTTATGGCATGGCATAAAATTAACAATGAAAAATTAAACATTTTGCATATTAAGCAATTATGTTGTTATAATTATAAACTAATTTTGCTGAGATCTTTTGATCTTGCTTTTAAAAATAACTCAGATCAGGAAGTAAGCAAATCCAGATGAAAGTAACGTTCTTGAATATTAACTTCTTATAGCAATGTCAGAATGAAAACTAAGCAAACTTGTGGCATAGCCTAATGAATAAAAAATAGTGTTTACTCAGTTACATTATATGTATATCAATATGTATCTGAAACATATACATGTATTCATATGGATTTAAAATTTGAAAATCTAAGAATTGGGATTTCTTGTAGTGGTGACTAATATATAAAGGTAAAGGTTACAACTCAGCCTCATGACTATTCTGAAGGACACTGCTAATTTACCAGCAGAGCTGTCACAAACACACCCATTTTCGTATTTTAACAGTGAGAAGCAAATCACTCTTGTTTCTGCTATAACCCCAAATCAAGCTGTCAGAATGAGAGCTGAGTGACTTTGTATCTGGAGTGTTATTTGTGCATAACAAAGAGGTTATACAAGTGGAAGTTGGAAGCATTTTGCTTCTAATTCCTACCCCACCCTTATTTTTTGCAAAGAAAACTTGAAGCATTGCGCAAGCAAAAATACGTCAACTTCAATAGCATTGGTGCAAGAGAGCTGTATGCTTAACTTAGGAATGGTGAAAATCAATGTACCCTTCTAGATTAAAACTTGAGAATTGTCTAGGTTTATTAACTATACATAAAATCTTATTTTAATTCAATTTTTCTTTAGAGATAACTTGAAAATAAAGAAAATACATCCAGACCCAACCATAGTTACTGCTGCTATTTTTAAAAAAGTTGTCTTCCATCTGCTGTGTTCCACCAAAGGTTGCATTCGGCAAGGATCATGATTCTGCCCATCTTGGAGCTGATAAAAAGTGTATTGAATAGAAGAATAAACGTTAGAAATCTATACCACTGTATTCCAGAGAAATTCAAATTTAGCTTTTTGTAACATAGACGATTTTATTTAAACAGCAGAAATGCAGCATTACAATTACATGTGCAAACCCTAATTAATTTTGCTGTATCTACTCACTGGCAATTCTGAATAGGAACATACTACTGAGTTTCCAAATTGTATGACTGCATCCCTATTTTTTTTTCTTAGTTACCCATATTTTGCTTTTTACAGATAGTCCTTGTTTACTGACTTTCTCATTTAGTGACCATTCGTAAGTCTGTGTAGCAAAGGAAAGCTGAAGATAGTAAGCTCATTCACTGCTAGGACTTATACTTTAATGGCAAATTCTAGAATATTAGAATTGACATGAATTCCGTCTACCAAATTTATTAATCCATTATTTATTTATTTATCAAATTTGGAGACCGCCCATTTACCACAGTGACTGTGGGCAGAATACTATTAAAATATAACAACCTGGATGAATTAACTCTTATAAATTTGTTGATCTGTTGGTAATTATCTATTATCTAACTCTGTTTATAAAGGGATATGTACCTTATTCAGGCGCATTTTTAGTTTTACAGCCTCTGCAGTAAGATCTTCAGCACTCAAAATCAGGTCTTCACACACTTTAGCTAGACTATGGGGTGGACTCCATTCAAGAACCAACTAAGAAATTAAAAAAATGTCTTATTTACAGTTACATATGAACTGCATTCCACTGGTAATAATTTCATTATTGCAAAGTTTTATTGGTTGAAAAATATACACGCTTACACACATTTTGAGGTTTTGGATAAGCCTCTCCCATCCAAGCTTCCTGCCACATCTTAAAGAGGATTTTCCATCCTCAGTAAAGTTCACAGAGTGAGTGTGGTTTTGTGCTGATATGCAAGCAATAGCAAACATAAGGGATAGCCTCTGGTTTCAGGTGAAAATATGGTGCATCATGGAAAAGATGTGTTGCAGCTTGTAGGAAAGTCAACCATTTTAAGACATGTTTAAAATAATGCATATCATGGTGATTTTTAGAGGAAATGTTGGCTAATCTCTCCACTTTAGAACAGCTTTCTAACCAGATAAGATTCCAAAAGTGTGAAGAGTTTTAAAAATAGTTCTCAATTTACAATAACAATAGGGACTGGAATTTCATCGTGAATCCTTGAGTTTTATGACCACCTTTATAAAGATTGTTATGCAAATCACATGGTCAATGGGCATTGCAAAAAACGCTGCAAATTGCAATCACGTGACTGGACTCTGCCACAGGTAAAAATGAGCAGGTGGTCAAGCAATTGAATTGCAATCAGGTGACATTTTGTAACAGTTGGAAGTGCTTTACAGGCCATAAAGCATCAAGACCATCCTTTCCAAGCCTGTCATAACTTTGGACTACCTTAAACAAATGGTCGTAGGTCATACACTACCTGTATTTGTGTTAGTATATTTTTATATTTTAGGAGGAATGATAACCTTGTCAGTCATGTTGTTTGCACAATTTGTTTTGCAGGTATCACTAGAGCATATGCTGACTGGTACTATTTGATCATTGGTTCAAAACCTGGCTTTCATCTTGTGTGTATATTTCACTTACTATTTGCTTTGGTACTTGGGCAATATTTTTATGTAAGAATTGTACCCTGTTCAGGCAAGAGGTATTAGCTTTACTTTACTAAAAGTAACCCTGATGTGGTGTGTTCCTTCTGTGGTCAATGACAATCAGATCAGTTATTATCACTATAGCTTTAACTGTTTTATGCTGAGAATGAAGAGAATGAAGAGAAAGAGGAATATATATGATATCTGTTTCCATGGATGTGTGTTTCCATCCTTTCATTTCATTATCATCATCGCCACAATCATGATACAAGCAGTACAGTATCCCAATATCATACATCTGAAGATAATTTTTTACCAGGGACTTCTCCAGAACTATCAACTCAAATAGATCAAACACAAGTTCTTCATAATGGGGAGTTATATCACGTCTGGTGATTTTTCATGCCCTGGTACTTCAAAAGTAAATGTGTCCATCTTGAGGTGCTGGTCTACTCCAAGGTGACACTGAGTGGTCAATTCAATTCTTTTCGATATTTTCCTTTTTATGGAACCTCAAGTTGGCTTGACCTTCTGTGTTCTTTTAGGCAAACTGATAAGCTTATTCAATAGAAAAAGAATACCGACCATTCATTCAAGAACCATAAGAGGACAAAGAAGCCTTATAACAGATTCCTGAAGTTCTGGCCAACTCTGTATGCCCACGGACAGGTGAATGTGATCTGGACACTTAGCAACCAGTTTGCACTTAAGGTGGATGCAGCATCCCAAGTCACATGATTGCCATTTGTGATCATCCTGCTTGCTTCCTACAAGGAAACAGGTAAGCCAGCAGGGAAGGTCACAATTTCTCCGGTCAGTTGCTTAGATCCTTCTCTCTCGGTGTTGGCCACTCATGCAATCTCTCCTCCCCAAGCAGAAACCATCTACTCATGCCTTACTTGCCTGCCTGGCATTCACTTAAGTCAGTGATCCCCAACCTTTTTTATGGCGCGGCCCGGTACCGACATCAGCTGGGCGCCATCTTGTTTTGATGAAAAAGTGCTTCCGGTGAGCTTTCTACCCGGAAAAGCTCACCGGAAGCACTTTTTCATCAAAACAAGATGGCGGCGCCCAGCAAACCAGCGGCCCGGTAGGACTTGTTCCACGGACCGGTACGCGGACCGGTGGTTGGGGACCCCTGACTTAAGTGACCTGTGATCTTTGCTTAAGTGGCAATGGGGAGTGCCGACACCAACTGATGCAATCGGATGACAAAATGCTGACTGCATCATTTAGCAATGGAAATTCCAGATCCAATCACTTGGAAAAATCAATCTTTTTTCCACATAGGGCCTGGCATGTGTCCAAACTGACAATTTCCCTGCAGATACTGTTCTTCCATGGGGCTATAAGTTGTTACCATAAGTATGCAGTTTCATCGGTTTATTTAACAATATATTTTCTGATGTCACTGTCTTGGTATAAGATAACAGACTGGATCCCCTTCAGTTGGGCTTCAGGCCTGATTATGGGACAAAAACTACCGTGTTTCTCATATAATAAGGCCGGGTCTTATTTTTTTTTGAGCCCCGAAAAAATGGCTAGGCCGTCTTTTCGGGGGTGACTTAATTCCCCCCCCCCTTGCATCTTCGGGCAGGCGGCAACGGCTTGGATGTTGACCTCGGCGTTGGTGGGGCACTTCATATTGGGGTCAACGCAGGCAGCACCATATCCGGGTGTGCAACAAAAGTACTTCCTAACGGCAAGCCCCCCCACCATTCCCCCCATTTCGCATGTTTTAATATAGGCCTTAATTTGGGGGGAGGGGCTTCAGTTCATTTCATGCCTATAAAACATGCTGGGACTTCCTATTGGGGGAGGCCGTATTGTTGGAGAAACAGGGTAGTATTGGTTAAGCTTGTGGATGATTTCTTGTCCTGCTAGGACAAGCCCATCCTACTCATGCTGGCAGAGAGGGCCTACTTTGGAGCCTGTCATTCAAAGAACTTCGACTATTGGGATCCAGAAGAAAAGTCATCTCTACTACAGCACTTGTCCTTTGGAACATCTTACTTTCTAGGATAAAATCTATCCCCGCTCTCCTATCTTTTGTCTTTCCTCAAGAGCCTGAAGATCTGGCTCTGCTGGTTGGCCTGGGGGCAAAATGGGGGAGGTTCCTCACTGGAGGTGGCTGCTGGATTGATGGCAGATTTCACTTCCCCACCACCCGCTGCCCTCTGCTCTCCACCCAGCCAACTTTTTGTTATTACAGTACTATATTCTCATTTTCTTTTTTCATTATTTCTTTTATTCTATTATTTTTACTTTTGTTCCATTTACACTTTTTCAATTCTTCCTTTTTTATTGTTTTAAGAGATTCCAGAGTAGCTACCCTGTTTCTCCAACAATACGGCCTCCCCCAATAGGAAGTCCCAGCATGTTTTATAGGCATGAAATGAAATTAAGCCCCTCCCCCCAAATTAAGGCCTATATTAAAACATGCGAAATGGGGGGGAAATGGCGGGGGGGCTGGCCGTTAGGAAGTACTTTTGTTGCACACCCGGATATGATGCTGCCTGCGTTGACCCCAATACGAAGTGCCCCACCAACACCGAGGTCAACATCCAAGCCATCGCTGCCCGCCCACGCGAAGATGCAAGGGGGGGGAATTAAGTCACCCCCGAAAAGACGGCCTAGCCATTTTTTCGGGGCTGAAAAAAAAATAAGACCCGGCCTTATTATATGAGAAACACGGTACATGGCAACATAGGCAGCAAATAAATGTAGCAAATAACTAAATAAAAATGAAATTCTGGTAAGAATGGAAAATGCACCACACTTGTTTGCCTTGACCTATTAGTAGCTTTTGATATCATCAACCATGGTACCCTTTTGGGGCTGGGCAGCACAGTATTGTGTTACCTCAGCTCCTTTCTCCAATGCCTGTCCCAATCGGTGTTAGTATGGGGAGAGAGATCCAGCTCATAACCATTCCCTTGTGGGGAATTAATTCAATTTGACTTAAGTGAAGGATGGTGTTTTGAAAAAACACATTTAGATGAATATTGTACCTTATGAGCCTCTGTCGGAAACTGACCAATAACATTCTGCACAGAAGTTTTAAGTTGAATGCATTGCCTTTTTAGTTTCATAAGAAAGGAAAGAAATTCATCACCACTGTAACAAAAACGTTAAACAATTACGAATTTATAGTAAGGTAAATCCTTTAACATTTTAACTTTCATAACTGCAACTAGGAGAATCAGAAATGCAAATGGGGTATTCACTTTTGGATAAGGAATTACTATCAAACTAATTTCTTTACAATAATGACTAGGTAGTCATATTTATTCTTTTATTTGATGCATAATGGGTGAGGGCACTGCTCACTCTAAGGTCGTATGAGAATGAATATCCTCAGCTCTGACAAATGAGTTAACAACAGATCTTTAAAAAACTTAATTGCAAATTAAGAAAGTTTCCAGGGAGCAGATATTTAGTTTGCTGCAAAAGACTAAATAAAAATAAATTAATTTATAATGGCATAAGCTTTAGTATTTCACACTAGATTTTTACAAAATAATAATCTGACTATTAAATATGAGTATTATTTTTATTACTTTTTTCGTTAAAGAAATATTTCTTTTTAACATCTTTTACCTGAATTCCAAATTTGTCACTGCAGTCAGCTCTTCCAACTTTACTTCTTCTACATGTAGCTCTTTAACAGCATCTAAAATTTTTTGTTGATCTCTAGCATTGTCAATGCCAATCTAACGATTTAAAAACATTTGTAAGATTTAAAATTTTAAACATTCAAATTATTTTATCAATAAAATAAAAATCCTTCCAATATTAATTATGTATTTGAAACTTTACACTTGACAATTTTGTTATCAAGGTAAGAATAAAATAAAAAACTACACTTCTGAGAAAATAGTACCATTATTTCTGCTTTATAATGAATTTTAATCAATAGGTGCACATTTTAATACTTTTCTGCAGTGACATGGGAAAGATTCAACAAAAATTACAATACAAAACAATACATAATTATTTCTTTTGATAAAAAATAAATATATTTTTTTTTTCTCGCTGGGACAAGATGCAAAAAGATATGGTAAATTTATTTTGAATCGTATTTGCAAATCACAATTCTTCTGCTCAATAAAAATGATACTTTTAAAATATTCAAGAGGTGAATAAGGTAAGGTAAATAAAGAACCTGTCATTTAGTCTTGCTGATACAATGCAGCACATTTTATACACTTTTGTTGGCATGCATGCATGCATGCATACATACATACATTTCTCCATTTTACTCACATTATTACCAATTATTTCAATGGAGAACTGCAAAACATCTTGTACTGATAAAGCTATGAATGACTATATCAACAGATCCTTTATATAACACTAATTTCTATTAAAGCACATATCCATCCTTTTTTTCTGTAAAAAAAGGAAATTAGACATTCAAATCAGTTAAACAGAAGATATTAACGTTTCTCAAAACAAAATGCAAATCAGTATTGAAAAGTGTTCTGAAGTTAAAAGAAATATAGAATTAAAATTTAAAACGGCAGTATTGGCGTCATAAGAGCAAATATACAATAAATAAGTAGGCTAACCTGTATTAAGTCTTCTTTTCCCATTGTCAAAAGCTGTCTTAAAGGTATTTCTCTTTCCTATAAGAGATGAAAGTATTTTCCCAGAGACACTTTGGGCCAAGATCCTATTACATAGGTTAGTAACCCACCTTAGTATTAAACTTCCAAGTATTTTCACAATAAACACAGAAACACAAACTCACAAGACATTTTTTGATTTGGATTAGACAATATTGGGTCATCATTTTAGAAATATTTTCTCACCTAAACAGAGAAACAGGATGACCACAGGAGGGGGGGAAAAAACCAGTGACAACAACTTCCAACTTCCTGCCAGCTTCCCCATTGAGTTTTCTTATGGGAAGCTGGCAGGGAGAATCCTTTCTTGAACACAGAAAAACAAACTCAGAAGCTATTTTTAAATTTACTTCTCCCAGAATATAATGAACAGTTTAGTCACATGAATGCTTGAACTTCTGGATTAAATCTAAGCAGTGATATTTTGAATTATACAGTAATATATTGCTATGAAATCCCAATTTAGTGGACCTGATAAAAAAAATAATACCAACTATAAAAAAAAGAATCCACTTATGGGGTATCCCCTGTACCTAAAGTATAATCAGTAGATATGGCATTGAAAATAAGAAAGCACAATTATTTATATCATGTACCTTATGGCATTCAAGAAATGACATCGTTTATTTTGTATCCTGCCTTTATTTTTATTTTTTTTACAAATCAAGGTGGTAAACGTATCCAACACATCTTCCTCTTCCTAATTTACTCACAACAACCCTGTGAGGAGAGACACTGTCCCAAGTCACACAGCTGGTTTTCATAGCTAACGCAGGTCTTAAACTCAGTTT